TAAACTTAAAAGGTTTTCTGCACACCCTCTGCAGACCCCAAGGAGGTTGGAAGTATTTCTGATCGATTCGTTATAATAGATTATCTATACACTATCAATTTTATTACCCGTAGACCACTTTTTTTGTGTTGTCACAGTTGACTGCTATCTGGCGACATCTGCCTCCGATCCACAGAAAACGGTTGCTGAGCTGCTCACTTCTTTGCATCAGTAAATATTTCAGATGATCTCTTTGAATATTTTCTCTCTTATTTAAAAAAACTTTTTTCTACTGTTGTCTTTTGTGATTCGCTTATCCATAGAATATCTGACAGTCATTTTTCCGTATTTTGCGCACACACACACACACACACACACACAGACAACCGTTTTGTAAGACCCTAGACTAAAGTCAAGGGAAAAAACAGAATTTTTTGCTGTCTGTATAAGTAGGATTATAACTTTTTGAGAAGCATTTTTAATTGTTTAAAATGGTAGTTTTAATTGTATATATGATGATCATGACGATTTTTTGATGGGCGCATCATGCAGTTTATTTTAACAAAACATCTAGATAAGTTGAATGTAAATAAACAGCGCAAAATTCTATAGTCAACATAAAAAATGGAAAAAATGTGTTAAATGTGCTTAACTTTTGCGACTAGCTTATATTACGTCGACCTTATTTAACGCGATCTTGCCCTTTGAACGATGCTCGATTGTGTTGACCAGTAAAATTTCGATGTGCAATACTGTTGCAACATCGCATGTTATCTAGTCGCAATAGGTGAAGAAATCCAATTTTATTTTCATTATGGAATTAGCACAGGAGGACAATAGTATCAAATATACTTAGTCTGAAAGTTCAAAAAACCTCTTATTTGTGACTTCCAACATGCTTCCTTTATGTTTTGCTTTTGCAGAACGGTTAAAATGAATAGATATGTTTTCAAGGTCAAAAATAAGCTTTCCGTAAAATCAATATAAGTTTAAATTCAAGTTATTCATATTTTAGATGGATACTTTTCTTTCTGTATTATCATTCATCTTAAGAATAATTCGTGTCATTATATATGTATTTGTTCGTCTGGGCTACCATCTACTATATGGCAATCAAAAGTTCAAACTACCGCCAATTACAAATAATATATTAATGCAACCAGCTCATGTTCTAGCTAAAAGAATTCGAATGCGAGAAGTATAAAATTATGAAATGTCAAAAATGTGTGACCTATCATTTATTTTATTGGTGTCTATTTAGATTAAATCTTATCAAGTTTGTTCTGTTTACATAGAGCGAATTAAAGCTATACAACCATTTTTGAATGTTTATATTGACGAACGATTTGAGCAAGCGCTCGTTGTGAGTATAATAAAAAATTCGATATATCTCTCCAAGAATCAGTCTTGCCGACAAAAGCTCTTTGATAAATCCATTTAAAAGTAAAGAGAATCTTCAACAGCTTCCCAAAAGTGCCTGTCGTCTAAAACAGAAAAATGCGATTATTCAATTTTCTGTCTTGTCCTACACAGTTTGCTCGAATACTTGAATTGAAACATATTTTTGATTTTTATTAAGGAAGCTTATGAGATAGATCGTATCTTGGATAGTGGTAAATTTCTTGAACAATATAGTGTAGAAAAGGCACCGTTTCTTGGAGTACCATTTGCAATAAAAGAATCAATGCAATTTAAAGGTAATTGTGAAAAACAGTTATTATATTATTATGCAATATTGCTCGTATTGTAGGATTTCACAATTCAACGGGTATTTTGGCTCGGAAAAATTTTATATGTGACAGAACAGCTCCTGTTGTGGAAAACTTAATCAAAGCAGGTGGCTAACTGACTCTGTCTCTTTTATACTAACTTTTTCATGAGAACTTGTTTCCTAGGTGGTATTCTATTGTGTAACACAAATGTAAGTGAAGCCTGTATGTGGTTTGAATCTCGTAATTATTTATATGGCACAACAAATAACCCGTATGATTTAACAAGAATTGTCGGTGGAAGCTCAGGTGTGTATAAAAAGTCTCTAACTATAAGTGGAACTAATCTTTGGCATGAAAAAAATGTTTATTGTAATAAATCTTTCTGAACATTTACAAATGATTTTATGAGTAAGACAGATACCGATAAATTCTGCTAAAACACAAACCGCAAAGCTGATGAAAAGATAAAATGGCGATTGTTTTCTTATTGTCTAATTCAATAGAATCACTGATTTCTATGCAGAATACCGAAGTTTAGAAAGTAGAGTAAAGGGAGAAGCTATTGTACGTTATCTTCTGTTTTAACAGTGGTGTGTTCGTTTTTCTTATTTGAAAGGTGGTTGCGGTTGTATTGTATCTGCTGCTGGAGTTCCATTTGCAATTGGAAGTGATATTGGAGGCTCAATACGTTTACCATCATTTATGAATGGTATATTTGGACATAAAACAACACCAGATATAGTTCCAAATGATTGTCAATATCCACCTCACAAAGACTTTCATCAAAAATATTTACTAGCTACGGGACCCATGTGTCGTTATGCATCAGACTTACATCCAATGCTCAAAGCACTTGGCCAAGAACATATTTCACAAAAACTACCTAATTTTAATACGCCTGTCGATCTATCTAAATTACGTTACTTTTACATTGATGATATTGATGCCTACTTTGTAAATAAAATAAGCAAAGAACAGAAACAAGCACACCGAAGAGTGAGTGTTTCATCCTTCATATTTTACATATTCAATAATCATATGAGAAAAACTGTTGCACTATCTTTTAATCGAACACTCAGTTAAGAGAAAACGATTGAGAATCTTATAATAGTATAATAATGTTTTTTCTTTTTTATTCTTTAGGTTGTGGATCATTTTGAACGTAAATACAATGTACATGTAACTCGTCTACGTTTGACTCGTTTACGTTATGCCGTATCATTATGGAGTTCGATGATGGTTTGTGTAAAAATTGATTTTAAGCCCACTAAAATCTTGTATGATTGATTTTCTCTGTTCAGGTTGACGGTCAATTACAAACACGTGATTTCGGTTTAACATTAAACAATCGACAGGATTATATAAATGGTTATCATGAACTTTTAAAAAAATTCTTATTTCGATCAACTCATACACTTCCAGCTATTGGCTTAGCCATTTTAGAATGTATACCAAATCGATATAATCAACGTTTTCATATAATGGCGCATAAGTTTTATGAAGAAATTCAGTCAATGTTACAAGATAATGGCGTTCTCTTTTTTCCCTCTTTTCCACATTCTGCACCCGAACATTGTTGGCCGTTGTTATTGAATACATTTGATTATATCTATTGTGGAATTATAAATGCGTTGGGTTTACCATCGACACAATGTCCATTAGGATTAGATTCAAAACAATTACCGTTAGGTATACAAGTGGTTGCTGGGAGATATCAAGATCATCTAACTATTGCATGTGCTCAGGAAATTGAAAATGCCATCGGTGGATGGATTCCACCATCTCCTGTAGCTTATATTTAGTGAGCATATGGTCAGATTTTATAGACTTCTCTAATCAATATACCAAAATTCACTTGGTCGATGTTATTCGTGACGCAAAACTGGTTCGAATTTTCTAACGTCAGATGAAGTTTTAAGAGTTTTTTTTTCGTATTTATATTATGCAGGTAGTTACAATAGTTCCTTTTCCCCCACAAACGGTTTACTTTATCTTATACAATCGACTGGGATCAAATTCACGTTCAAGGATACAAAATCATCGAGACACAAAACAGTAGATTTAGTTTTGCACTTTACTGCAAAGTTAAGTTCATGTATTCGAAACTTTATTCGTACAAAATCGATTTCGTGTTTTTCGATAGTTTTAGCGTTAGAATATTAAAATGGGATATTTGTTCGCTTGTATTCTGACAGAACAAAGCTTCTATCAAATCATCACTTGGGTTTGTAGGTTTAACTTTTGCTTAAACCAAATATTTATTATTATCTGAGGTTCTTTTGGATAATTTTCAAACTATTAGTTTAAATAAGAAGTAGTTAGTTCTTCACACTTGCATTATTCTATCGTGTATTGATCAAAATTTTTCCAAGTTTAGTTATTCGTTGTATTTTGTTTCTGTTTTGTTGTAATCAATTCAATAATTGATCTCGCTCGTCCTCAATTATGTAGTAATACTTAATTTACTGACGCATGCGTTTTGCTTTGACTAATGGTTTTGACAATTAGTTTTGTTTGTACCTTTAAGTCTGTGATATTATCTATCTACGCCATCTTTTTTGTTGTATTTTTTTAACTGTTTTGATAATGAATTTGCCACTACAAATATCGTTTTATCTTGACTAAAATGTGTTGATCCCAGTTCTCATGTGATTCTGAAGCACCAACTTGAGCGGTTGCGACTATTATATTTCGAGAGCAAAGTGTTGCCGTTGCACGAACGACAAAAGCAGACTGCTGAACATCATGTCTAACTGTTTATATTCAATAACACTTAGTTTATTTTGGTTTTTCGCTTCACACTTTTGATTATCATATTTGATACTGGTTCGAATAACGGAACAACTATAACTCATGTAAATAAAAGAAACGTCAGCAACTGTCGTTTTGCATTCCGTCGTCTTTTATTCTAATTATACTGCGTCTTCTTATAAGTTACAACGTGGTGAGGATGAAAATGAAGGGTATTTTTTTATCTCACGGGAGACGAGATAAATGGGAAAATTTTTCTCTTAAAGAGGATTAAATGTTAGTATTGGGAGAGTCTTAAAGTATATTATTTGTCACGCAAGGAGCGATAAACATAGTGTCGTTTTTTCTTGTGTGTTGTTTTGTTTTCTAGTTCTATGTTTCTGAAGAATTTTTAGTTAAACAGAATATAAATTATAGTTTAGAAAATTCAAAGGATGTTCGTTATGATTCAAAATCATAGACGTATATTTATGAAACAAAACAACAGAATGGAGCAGAAAATAAAAATCAGAACTAGCTTATAAAAATAAAGATAATGGCCAGTCATTACCGATCATGTCCGCAATAAAAGAAACAACCTATACGTATTCAAAAACAAATGTTAAATATACGTTAGATTTAACATACGTATACGTACCTCTATCGATTGAGTTATATTTTGTGTCATATTATGCATTGAAATTGATGAAATATTAGACCGTGTTTCTGAACTATATGATCAGACAAATACCTTAATTCTGATTCAATGCATTTTAAGAGTGTGTTTTCTTTTAAAACTTCACTTCAATATTGTTGTGAAGTTCTGTCAAATCAGATCTAACTAAGTGATCTTCAACTGAAATCGAAACTCTGGAGGTAGTTTATGAATAAAAAACTTTAAAGTGATTATTAAGTTGCAGATTATGGCTTAGAATATACTCTTTCTCGTCCATTATAGGATAAGTTTAGATCCATTTTTTAAGATATTATTTGCTATAGCGCTGCTCATTCCCCAAGACTGAGAAACGCCGTAGCTAATTTGTCGGAAGACATTAGAAAATCTAAAGTTTAGAATTTCGAGAAGTTTGCAGTCAAAATAATAGACACCAAGAAGCATTTTATTCATTCAAATCAATTATTTTTCGTTGTTTATTTTTCTTCAAGATGATTTACTTGCTGCCTTTATTATTTTACAGTGAACGCTTTGTTTTATTGTAGGAAAAACAGCATTTCAGAAATTGGTAAACAAGTAAATAGCAATGCTCAACGCTACTCATGTTCATCTGTCTTTTTTTTTATCAAATTTTCATCACTTAGTATGTAATTAGTGATTAAGTGGAAAAGATGCACTTATTTCATGCGACATTATATACTCAACGTCATTATTATTGGTATGGATTTAAATGATTAGTAAAATAGATGGTATGATCAGTAAGATAAAATATTATAAAATCAGTTAATTAAATGAATGATCAGTAAATATATTGAACTATCAGTAAACTATTTAAATGATCAGTTATTAAATAAACAGGTTCTTTAATAAATTTTAAGATCAATAAAAAAAATAGATTAACAGTCAGTTAAATCAGGTCGTAATTTAGAATCTATTGCACAAGCCAATTTAAATAAATATATAAATAAAAAATGGACAATCTTTAATCAGTTCAAAAAATCATATGATATCTGATGTTTGAAAATGCAGAATGACTCAGATTGAAAAACATCAAAATGCAACTATCCAGCTTTTCTTAAAAACTACATATGCAAGCATATTGTTGGTATGGCTATTCGTTTAAAATATTGCAAACCACCACCGACAGCAAAGACAGTGCTGATCGGTGAGAAAAGGAAAAGAGGTAGACCAGCAAAGGTCAAACCTGCTTTGTTAAAGTGCAGTAATTTAATCTCTTTTCTTTTTCATTTCAATTCTTATTCTATATTACACTTTACGGATAATTTTTTTTTCTATTGATAAAATCTATATTATTTACTTGTCAAATTTGCATTTTTTACTTATCAAGTTCCTTTTTTTTACTGATATAAATTGTATATTTTTACTGCTACTATATATAATAAACTTATCATTTTCTTATTATTTACTGATCATTCAATCTTTAAACTGATCATTTATATATTTTTTTACTGATCATTTAATCTATTTTACAGATCAAATATTTTGTTGCCATTATTATTCTATATTGAACAATTTTAAAATATAGATGTAAAATAGATACAGAAAAGTATCTATCGTACGAATTAAAACCGACAAAAATTACACTATAGATATCTGCTTGTTCGAACACAATCGCGATAAGCGACACGTATTTAATTAATGCTTCAATCATCTTCTTCCATTAGAAAATTTATGTCATTTTACATCATTTATCGTCGGATGAACTTCATATTTTGTCAGATAAATGCAACAACATAAGAAAATGAAAAGTAACACAAGAAAACAGAAACAATTCATATCATTTTCTGTTTTACATAGGACAAATCTATCATGTCATGGTATATTATGCATATATTTAATACAAATCATCAAGTTGCGTTATTTCAGTGTAATCGACCGTAACAATGACATAACGTCGAAATGTTTAGCTGTTGAAAATAATAATTCTACAAATAAAAGTATATTAAAAATTACATTTTATTAATAATAAGGATTTGTGTAAAAGACAACAAAAAACAAAACTGTTTATAAATTAAAATGATGTATTAAATATAATGTATACATCGTAAACATTTATTTATTTTTTCACTTGATCATATTGCTCATACGATTGTTGAATGTTTAAACTCCAACAATTGTAAACACAAGGTTACAGATTTCGATTAAAAAACAAAATAAAATGTTATTATATCTAACAATGACTGGTTCATAAGACAGCATGTGCTCTTGGCTCAAAATTTAGTTCCGTTATCCGTTAAAAGTAACGTTGACAGAAAGATAAACAGATTCATGACACTAAGAAGCCTCTTCTTACTTTTAGCTAACAACATTGGCCATTTTCTTATAGTTCTTTTCAGACCTTCCACGTTTTCTCTCTTGAATTTTGAATTTTCAGCGGAAAGTTCTTCGTGTGAATCTCAAATCTAAGAAATTTATAGAACCCAGAACGGAAGGACCGAATTCAGATGAATTATATGCGATCCTTGCAGTTTTTCACGATGATTCCGAATATATATGAGTCAATTGCAACTTTTTTGTACAATTGATAAAAGGAAATGAAAGTGATCCTATTGAAAATCTAAAAGGTGCATTGTGTTGCCCATCGTTCACTGAGTCTGTGGTAAAAATTTTCCGACTACCACACTTCAGGAAGCTGAGATAAACGAGACACAGAGTTACGACTACTCTTCTAAGGAGTTTATCCTAAGCAATATATCGAAATCGGTCTTTCTGCACATATATGACACACCGCTGAACAGATCTCGACAGCTTCAAAAAGAGTTTTATGAACTTCGTGAGGAGTCGAACGATATATAATAGTAGCAGTTTCATTCGAAAAAAGCTCGAAAATTCGTAAGAAAAAACTGGCCTTACATTTCG